GTTTTGAACTTTTCAGGGTCATTTAGAAACTGAAGGCTTTTCCCTTTATGTGCTTTCTGAGGACACAAACTGAAAGTCAGACTAAGATTAAGGATATACATCTTCCTTAGAAGAAAAGTCTCCCTTCAAGACCATCACTCCCTATAGCCCTGATACTCTTATATTTAAAAATCTTGACTGAAGCCTCAGCTTTTCCCATGTGGAACACTTAAAGTGGGTCAGTGCACAGAGGTTCCCTTGCAAAATTAACAGGTGTCATCCGTCATGAAAACATATGGCAGAATGCATGTCCTTGAATTGGTCCAGGAAAGATGCTCTCAGTAGGTTTCAATAATATGTTAAAAAGTCAATGAGTCCTTCAAATTTTGATTCAAAGTCAACAAATGTTGAATAAATACCTACTGTGCAATGCTGCACTGTGCTATGGAGCTGGGAATAAAAAGATGGATGGATGGATAGAAACACATTTATTAAGTTTCAAGCACTGTACTATTGTGGATACAAATGCTAAAATGAGACAATCCCTGCCCCAATATTAGAATTGCATTCTAATAGCAGGAGTCAACACACTGGTGTCACGGGAAGGTGAATGAATGCAAATTCACATAACCCACTATGCCTAGGCAGCACCAGATCATGTTTCATATCCCATCTAGCCATCTACTCTAGGAATCTTGCCATGGCTGCTACATATGTAGTCCTCTTACAAAGAGTATAACAGTAGACTGTCCTATGGCTTCCCAGACCAAAACTCCCTTGGAGTCTCTTGATTCTAAGGCCAGAGCTCCCTTGGGCTTGTGTCCCAGGAGCCTGGCTTCTCAGAGCTTCTATGCTGGGATAGTTGCAACATCTGGACTGGAATCCTAGGCTCCAAGGTCCCCATGGCTTGATTCTCAGGTCAGGGACTCCACTCCCTGAAACTAGAACTGAAAAAAAAAAATGAAACAAGACCAAAACTCAAAGTCTGTTTCTTGGGGCATTGACGTCTAAGGGGAGGGCAAGGTGGCCATCAGGCCCTTTCCTTCTTACACCACTGCATGGTGAATGGAAGTATTGTGAGAGATGAACTCTCAGACGTGAAGCCTCCTCAAACGTCAATAATTCTTGATTATTGCTTTCAAAATCCTCCCCCGCTCAGACCCTGTTTTTAAGCGCATAACAGAAAGAATAAGCCCTGCCCCCAACCTGAACTGTTTGCCCTTGGCTTCCCACCTTTCTCTTGTCTCTGGGATAAGGGAGAAGGGGGTTGGGGAGAGGAGACTGCAGTGGATTTCGGTTTCCTAGGAATTACCTAACTCATGGGAATTCAGCCCTAAATCCCTCCTGATCATCACACCACTGCTATGTCAGCAGTAGGTTTACTAAATAAGGACATGTATGTTTGGATTGGCTATACCCTGTTTCCTTGTCTTTGAATTTTTGCGCCTAGAATGTAAGCCCACCTCCCCAGTCAATGGGAATAAGGGATAGTGGTGGGTGAAGGTTTTTGCGTTAGGGTATATAATCTCATTTTGGTTTCTGTGCCTCGCCTCTCTCCTCCTGGAAGTATACCTGGGGAGCAGATGCCCCTTCTCACGAGATTGCAATAAAAGTAACTTTTGCTTTCCACCTTGAGAAGTCTCTGGGTTTAATTTGGGTTAGGGTCGCTGTCCCACACAGTATCCTTTACTCTCAGATGCTGCTGGAAATGAGAGATGTACTTTACCACAGCCTAATAAATCTAAAAATGCAGACAGTTCCAGCTATTTAGCCAATGAAAAGAGGCTGCTCCCACCCACTTGGGGGGCCCACACAGAAGTCCATACCTACATTAGTCCTCTTGTCTACCAAAAGGAGGTCACTAGTATTTCTCACATGGGTGTTTCCAAGCGTTTTAGGTGATCTGGGCCTATCTCAACCACTTTTTATAGTTCTGATAAATGCTTATTGATTAAATGATGGTTACAGAAGACTATCCCTGCATCTCTTATAGCTTTCTGCCAAAAACAGAGAAGACAATAATTTTTTTGTTTACCTTAATGATAATTAAACCCATCAAAAGCTGTTGGAGCCAGCAACGGGAAATTCTATTCTGAAACTTATTTAAGAAGAATTAGGAAGTAGTTGCTGACAGATAGGAAAATGAGAATGGAAACTCTTGAGGGGAAATGAATAATCCATTTTGCTGGGCATAGTCCAACATGAGCCTCAGATTTTAGAAAAGTGGGTTTTAGAAGAACTGGTGAAAAACGATTGATAAGATTCTTTGGTCAAAATGGGGTCAGGAAGTGTCAGAGCTGACTGAAATGACTGAACAACAACAAGAAAATGGAAAAGATGCCAGA